AAAAAAAAAAAAAAAAAAGTGCGGGGTGCCGATGATTCCCGACTGCTAGGTGCCGACCAGCCGATCGGTCGGCGGGTCGGCAACCAACCAGTCAAGGGCCGCCGACCGTCGGGGTGTGCAACCCTGGACAGGAGGTTTTAATTGGTGAATTCTTTGCCATGCGCGTGCACGCACATGCACATGCACACGCACACGTACACACACACGCACATGCACACACACACGCACATGCACACACACACACACACACATGCAAACGCTCACGCAGATGCACACGCACACGCTCATGCGAGAGAAGGTTAACCGACCCCCCATTTTTCAGGTCAATTTATAAGAAAACCATAAGGCCATTTCAAGCAAACTCCACACCAATGTATATAGTGCACTTCTTACTAACATATTTATAAATAAATAAAAAAAAATTAAAAAAAAATAAAAACACATAAAACAGCAACCCAAAAGTGCATTTTCAGGCAATTTTGGCATGAAACACGTCATCCAAATTTCAGGATTTTCAGGCCTCCCAACAGAACAAATTCTAATAACCCAAATAATACCAAATTTGGCAGACAGCAACCTTAAACCAAAACAAAAACAGGCAAAAAAACAAAAAACCAAAAAACCAAACATTTGACCCCCAAACCCTAATTTCAGTTTTGGTCCCATTAGTCAGGAGCTGAGGTCCCCGTTAACCATTTGTGATACGCACATGCACACACACACATGCAAACGCTCACGCAGATGCACACGCACACGCTCACGCACATGCATACGCACATGCACACACACGCGCGCGCGCACATGCACACATGCACACATGCACACATGCACACATGCAAACATGCACACATGCACACATACTCCTCCACTCAGAATCTTCTGCAACACAAACACTGACTGGCCTCTTGAGCCATTGTACAGTAGTCTGCTCCAGCGGTGAGTATTTAGAACCCTGTCAAGTTCGTCATATTTTTGTCCTGCCCTTTTCCCTTTTCGCCCCCTTACACCCTTTCCCCCTCCCCTGCCCTCACTCCCTATAGAACTCCACCTCCTAGCCCTTTCCTCCCTTCCTTCCCTTGTGTGCTACTAGTAAATGCATACGAACGACCTTAAGAGAACAGACAAAATATAAACTGAAGATCTGAAGTAATATGAACAGGAGTGTACCTCCACCTTTACTCTGCCTCCTTTCATAACATGCAAGTGTGTCTTATTTGGGCAGCTGGCGCTCAACCACAATCAATGTGGCCAGCCATGTACATGAGGGGCATAGTAAAAGGAAAGCTGCAAGAATAAATGAGAGGGGTACCCCAAAGAAAACCGAAGTAAACACAGTTACGAAAGGGATTTAAGAGGATCTATTATGATCCATGTTGCTTGCTATAGAGGTAAAATTATTTCGTTGTTGAATTGTCTGAACTCGTGTTTGGTTGTCTGCAATAGGACTACAGCTGCTTCAATTTTGGATCTACTCATCTGGGTGGAATAGCAGCCGTTGTGGTGAAATCCAAAACACACACACATGTGGCCAACCTTGCATCTTCTTTTTTTGTTTTAATTTGGACCATTTCTCGATTTATGCGTGTCATCCTTGCGCAGGGGCCATGCTAATCTTCTCTGTATCGTTCCAATTTTAACGGATGTCC